CGAGTGTCTCTCTGAAAATCACTTTGGATTACCTGAAGAAGAAAGAAACACGCAATTCATTGTTCTTAATTAGAATAATAAGCGGGATACTGACTTAATCCTTGGTCCTCTTGCGCCAAACCCAATGGCATTTCTTTTCTTCCGTTTTATGGTTCTATTAACCAACACTGATGAATGTTACTAACTGCGAGAAAGTTTGCAAAGTGGAGCGGCCTACTTCTCCAAATAGTTCGTTGAACTTCATAACTTTTCTGGTCCCTCCGCCGTACCCCTACCCCCCTGCATTCAGCCACTTTGGAGTTTGGTCACAACTTCTGGAAGAGAACACTTTCCTAGAGCCCTACAATGACTGTTTTTTACCGTGTTCCTCCGCTCTTTAAAGATTCATACCATTTCATTTTAATTAAGGTGAATGGGTTGTAAAATATCGGAAGTTTTATAAAGTACTCTAGTTGCTGAACAAAGATTACAAATTTATATTTGAAGAATGAAAAAAAAAAACTAGAATTCGTTAATGAGATGGTTATTTTAGAACCGTGGGCCTAAAAATAATGAAATAAAATTAAAATTGGAAGCTTTTGAACTCTAACCATTAAAATGTCCAAATTTGTGTAGAAGAATGTGGACTGTAATAGTTGAAATAAATTATCAGCTATTGCTAGTGGGTTTGTGTTTGGGAGGGATTGGAAGGGTGGTAATTTCCACTTCTGAAATTTTTCTTGTAGGATTTTAAGATTTATGTATACCAGGCATGTAAGGCTGCTGAGGAATTTGTCAATATTTACTATGACACAATGGACAAAAGGAGACGGGTAAGAGTTAGAGACTACTCTTTATTAATAAACACCAGTTCTTGTGTAGAGCCTGCCATTCTTCTGACTTGTATAAGCAATAACTTTGGCCTTGTTCTTTGAGGGAGTTACTTAGAGAAGGATTTTTATGGTATTAGTGGAAGTGTGGGTTCTGGAATCCTATCACAGGTTTGCTTTTACCTAGTTACATGATCCTAGGCAAATTGCTAACTTCCCTTAACCTACTATAATTTTTACAATGGTAAACAGGAATTTATTTCGATACTATGCTTAACATGGGGCCCAAAATATATTTACTTAAATATGTTACCTTGTCTTAATCTTATCATTTAATCAATATTGTTAAAGTAGTGTTAGCAAAAGGGTCTGCCATTACAGAGAGCATTTCCTGATTTTCCTGGGTTATTTCATATATTAATAAATAATTTCTAATTAAGGCCCATAACTGTAACTGACAGTCACAAGGAGGAGCCACATAGCTTGGATACTTGCAGTCTTCAACAGACCAAATTCTCATTTTCTTAGTTTTTCATTGTTACATGTCTTCAAGCCATATTGTCTAAATATTCAACAGTTATTTCAGTATACGCTCAAATGAGCCTTGCCTGCTTCTTTCATAAACATAACATCATGTTTTAGAGAGCTTCTATCTTGAAGTTACAAAAAGTAACATCCTATCTCTAAAAACTATTTTTTGTTTTTGTTTTTTGAGAGTTTCTTTGCTATAGGGTGTATGCTCTTACCAGAAAGACAGAGACAGACAGAGAGATAGAAAGCGAGAAATCACCCCCTAGGGGGATGGCCACACCACAATCCCTTCTCCATTCTCCTCTTGGGATCCTGGGCGCACACATACACGTGCCTGGTGTGACTTTAAGTCACCAGGTCCAGAACTTGAACTGCGGTGAACTACATGGGAGTTCAGCATCATAGCCATTACGCTTACTACTGGTGCCTAAAAACCTGTTTTTTTAAGGCAGAAAATTTTTAAAAAGTTCATGGTACTGGGACCAGCAGTTGGTATAATGGCTATGTTGCTGGACTGCCATGTAGTTGACCACAGTTTGAGTGGACCCGGTGGCTTAAACTCACGCCAGGTGTGTGTGTGTGCATGCTCACAATCCCCAGAGGAGAATGGAGGAGAAGGGATTGCAGTGTGGCCATCCACCCTGTGGGGTGATTTCTCACTTCCTGTCTCTCTGGCAAGCACACATACCCTGAAGCAAAAACCTCTCAAAAAAAAAAAAGTTCTTGGTACTATATTTGATGACATTGAATAGGAATAAGGAATGTGATAAAGGGTGTTTATTGTACCTTGTCTTGAATGTTTATTGTACCTTACTGCTTTCAAAAATAATGTAGCAAAAAAGCAATGTAGTTCATTATCAGCATTAAGATATCTTTTGGCCTTTTAACCCTAGTTGAATTTTAGAATTAAGCAAATAGTGTGTCTTTTGACCCCAAAGATGTTGCATTTTGCCTCATTTGGGTCTTAACTTAGTTGATTTACCAAAGATTCTTCTTTAGTAAGTGCTGTTGGTTCTTTTGAACAAAGTATGCTAATAAGGTAACAGTAAAAGGAACTAATTCTTCCTAAAATACATACAAATATTAAGTAATTCACAGGTATGTAACCACTAGGATTAAAGTGTACAGGCAGGGTTTGGTGGACCTTTGTTCATTCTCAGAATTAGAAAAGGGAGAGAGACTAAAACTGGTATGAGGTTGTATGTGCTCGAAACTTGTGATTCATTTCCATACAGAAAACAAAAGTTTAAAACTCTTCCAGTTTGGATGAAAATTTTCACATTGTGGTTAAACTGAAATAAGAAAAAAATATATTTAACTGCCTAGTTTATAAAGTGGATGATAAGGCAGCTGATACCTAAGGCCAAGATTATAAAACAGACATCCTGTTCATGTTGGTTTCCAGTGAAGAGAGGAGAAACAAGGGAAGTAGAGATATAGGTAGCACCAGGAAAATGTTTATGTATATCTATAATCTTTTAATCCATTTTTATAAAATGTTTACATAGAAGAA